AGAGCACTCTGAGATGGAGGGAGCTGCTGACAAAGTGAAACACCATGCTTTGTGCTGTAACTCCGACTTTCTTCAGGGCTAGTCCTCTTCATGTGTCTATCTTAAGAATGGGTCTTCTTGTTTATGATCTGGTAACAGCAGCATCAACACTCTGAGAAAAGCAGCTCTGTAATAGGAAGCTCATGTGAGACACAGGAGAGCGTGTTGGAATTTGTGTCTGTCCCTCCCTAGCTAAAAATGCTAGGAACAAAAATATTATGAAGACTATAGCTTTTGTGTGAAAGACCTAACAGTTCTTGGAGAGACTGGGTGTGTTGTATTGTTTGTGTGAAAGAGATAAGAGGTAAGGTGTTTTAATTGCCTACAGCAGTTCAAGGGGTATTTAAGCTCCACGCATGTCCTTGGTGTGTGACTAGAATTTGCATATGTAAATGATGGAGGAAGTGGTATCAGCAGGTTTTCTTGTTTTGTCATCTACTCCCTTAAACATATATATGGGACCTTTTCTGAAACTCACAGTTTGGGAGAAGCTGGTTCTGTCAGTTTGTGGTAACAGTGGTGTTGCTGACAGGTGAGTCATAGCACATGGCAGTATCGTGTGGGTTTTGTGAGCACCCACTTGGGTGTCTTTGGGAGTTGCTCCCTTTGGCTCACAAGTGTCTGACCTGTATGGTGCATAATGGCTCCTGTCGAGACCTCAAAATCTCATTCCCCAGTTTCCATGGCACTTCAGGAAGCTGTTACAGCAGTCTGCATGGATAATTGAGATGTAATGAACTGCCTGTGATGACCAATCTTATTATCACAAATATAGCATCACTGTACAGGAATTACTTCCCTGTTTTCAGTGTAGACATGTCCTTAAATTCCCTGGCCCTATTTTCAGATAGTGTAATTCAGCACAGCTCTGCTAGTATCAGCAGAGCTACACTGTCCTACGTGGTGCAGGACAACAGACTTCTGTGGGTATGAGTTGTATGCCTTTACATTTCAATTGTACCACGTATAACTCAAGCCTGTCACCCAGTGGCCGGAAGGCTTTTTTTGTTCCCTGGATTGCTCTAATTTTTCAAGTGATCAATAACTCCCTTGTCTCTTGTTTTTATTTGACTTTGCCCTTCTTTGATTTTATTTGCCTCTGCTGCAACATGTAAGACTGTGCTGTGTTATTTTTCTGGCGATTAGAGTTTGTTCCACTAGCTTTTTTAACAAAAGACTGCTAACAAAAGGCCGCTAACTCTGCATATGTAAGTAACTTCTTCCTGAAGAGGAATATCAGGTTAAGTATACAGATGAAAATGTATTGCTTGTAATGTATTAAATAAAGTAGGAGAAAATATCATGTAGGGAATAATTCTGCCATAATGTAAGAAGTCTTGTTTTTTAACTTCTGCCTAACCCTGCCTAGGAGCAGGGGGTGCAGTCAGATGAGCTGTTGTCCCATTTGGTCGGTGCTGTAGTAAATAGGGTTGTGTAATAAGGCCATGTACTTCTCAGCAGCCTTCCCTCCTCTACACAGTGCTGCATGTATATTGCTTCTGTTTGCCTTTAACCATTTCCAAGCACTTTGCCAGGGCTGGAGCATCCTTGCAGCTCCTCTGTAAGTGTTTTTTACATTCACTTATAGCTGGACAAAATTCAGCCCCATCTACTCAAAGGGGCATCTATCATCAGGAGTATCTTTCTCTGTAATTGAATTTAGACAAAGGTGATCAGTCTGGTTCCCGCTGATCTTGACTTTGGAGCACATGTTGAGGAAATCATTAGGGGCTTCTGGTTTTCAGTATTTCTGGAAATGGGGTGGCTGAATTTGACCTCCTTCTTAAATGAAAGCACTCAGTTCAAAGTATTTTCTAAGAACCTGAGCTTAAAACTCTGAATGCTCTAATGACCAAGTCCAAAACACAGCACAGGTGTCTGGATTCTCAGTCACCTGTGACTTGCAAGAATGCTAATTCAGTATTCTCCTTAGGATTCTGTTCAATTTGATCAAATATTTAGACAGCAGTAATTAACCCCTTGAAGATGCATCACGGTGCATGAATCCTGAAACAATTAAATCTAGGGTAACAACGATTATCTAGAAACATGCATCTAACTTTGAGCAAGTGAATAAGCGAACGGCACTGAGAAAGTGCTGTTTGTTTAAATGAATATTAGGATCTCCTGCAGACTGGTTTCCACTTAAGGCAAAAGGATAAGCAGACATGCCCAGCAGGAGGGAGCAATGCTGCACGGAATGAAAGATTCAGATTTACTGACCACATTTCACATAATCCTATGGGATTTAAAAATAAATCCTACTGCCTTGCTGGATTTGCAGTCTGACTCACCCTTTTCAAAGTGCTGTAAACATGGAGAATGTGATCATTTATTTCAAGGCATTGTATATTAGCTGACTCTGTTCGTCCTTGAAGACTTTCTTTGTGAGAGGTTAATTATACTGATAGGTGCTCCCAACTGGAGTGATAAATGGGAAACTTTTCATCTTCAGCCTGTGCTGTGTTGTCAAATTATCCTTCTCTTAAGGATGTTTACAGACTTCCTTTGAGTATTAATAGTCTACTGTCTTTAATACTGCACTTATTAGTGCTTGCTTTAGATTTTACAGGACAAAATGCAGAAGAGCATGTGCAGAGTGCAACTGCGGCTTTTTAAAATCCCAAATCATTGTATATTGGAAGCTGGGAGATAGTTTTGTGGACATCCTGCCATGAACTGCTCTCTGCCATTAAATGTCACCTGCTGGACTACAGTAATCTTCTGCAGTGCTGGAGGATTTGTAGCAAGGCTGTTGTTGCTGTATTCATTCTTCAGAACTCTCACGCCAGCAAAGTGAAGAAAATATGTACATAATGCTGTGGGGGTGTGCTGGCAGGCACAGACTCTGAGCTGGGGTAATGAGACAGATAACAGCTCTGCTTGACAACAAGCAATAAAGTTTCTATTGAAGCATCAGGTTTATTTGAGCCCTTATCTTAACTCTGTTTGTCAGATTGCTTGTACTCCAGTCTTGCAGTAAGCACCATAGGTGTATTTTTGTTGCTGCTGAGAAGTTTCTTTGGTATGTTTGGTTTGGTGGTTGAAGTCTCCTTTTTTTTTCACTCATGTATGTTTGGTATTAAAATGCACATACTAGTACTAAAAAGTTTCTTTCCATTCCCTACTGGAAAGGGAGTTAAATAGAGAAATGCCAATAAGAAGGCAAAGTAGGGCATGACAAGAGCTGAAAGATTTTGTTAGGATACGGTATAGTGACTAAAAATAAGTGAAAATTCCTAAACTTTTATTCTTGTCTCTTTCCATCATATTTAGCCTCAGCCTGAGCAAAACGAGAACTGATGGTGTGTGAAGGAATTAAAAGAACTTGGGTAATACCAAAAAGGAAGGAGATTAGCAGCAGCAAACTACTGTCTCCTGCTAGGCGTGATGTGTGCTAATCCAGATAATTCAGATGCTTTTGCCTGAGAAGTGCCTAAGTAAACTCTGTATCCTTTCAAAGTGCTACAGAATAAAGCCTCTGGGGATCAGTGAGAGGATAATGGCAACTGATGGATGTTGCATGGCTGATATTCTTAAAGACAGATTTCTAGTCACCTGGATGGCCCAGGTTAGAACAGAGGAAATACTCAAACTTGATTTTAAAGTTCTGAGCAACAGGGACCTTGCCTTGCTAAAGCTTTACTGTTTAATGGCCCTACTCTTTTTTTTTTTTTTTTTTTTAAATTGTTCTTTAATTCCCCTCTAAATGTCTCTACTTTCAAATGCTTGGCATTGGCTTCTTACTCTCTCTAGAGCTTTGATTCTCTCTACGACAGTGGCTTGATTGTATAAGAAATTTGGGGTTAGGTGTCCACAGCAGGATCAGGGAGAGGAAAATTGTTGTCAGGTGACAACAGGTGAAGATAAATGCACCCTTCCAGTCTCTACTTGTTCAAAAAAAAAGTTAACTTTGTAACAGCAAGCTTCATGCTGGGTCAAAGTAGATAGGGGATTGTTTATATTTAGCCTAGAGCTGACAAATCGGACACAAACACTTTGTCAAATGCCCTTGTTAATTCAGCAGAAACATTACTGTATTACTCACTTGATTCATGTCAAATTTATAAGACTGGAAGATTGGACATAGAATCTGGGACTAGCTATCGGGGAAAGCGCAAAGACTCTTTCTACATGTCCCTGGCAACATAAATGGAATAAATCTTTCATCTCCCTTTACAGTGCCACTGCAGCACTAAGGAAGGAAAACTAAGCCTGCTTTTTTTTTTTTTGCCTTTTTTTTTTTTCCATCTTCAAGGCTGATTTAGAGGCGTTTGGGAGGAGACAGCTGGGAATCTTGTGCTGATCCACTGTATGTGGACCAATAATGGTGGTTATATTGCATATGCATCTTTGAAGCAAAGCTTTATCCACCTGAGTGTTCAATGTGATGTGGGCCTCTAGCCAGTCCTTGCTATGTACTGGAAAAAATGGAGGACTATTTTAGGAAAAGAACAACTCTAAATACTACAAATTAGACTCCTCTTCTCCTACAAAAGGCAAATACGTTGTGTTGTCCTTCTTTCTTTCTACATTTCATGCCACGCGAATCAGATTTTTAGTGTGAGGCATCTTTCCCTGAGAAGAGAAAGGAAGGTCTCTGTATGCCTTATTTGTAAAGTACAAATTCTGATGCTTGCCCACTTCTATGGGTGTGCCCCATCTTAAGAGCAGGCTTTTAAAGGAGCATTTGAAGGGCTCAAAAGGAGAAGAGATGCAATCAAAACACTTTTCTGGATGTGTTCATAGATGATAAAGGGTATAGGAATGAGAAACCAGCCAGTTTATCCATGCTAAAGGTCTTTAATTGAAAGATATGGTCACCAATTGATCTGTTTCAGCATCTGAATCATCAAGAATGAAACTCTCGAAAGAGGAGATGCCAGGGAAGAACAGCATCAGGGTCAGCTTTGTGCAGCAGCTATCGGGCATCCGTACTTGGTTCAAGAAAGGTAAGGTTTTCAGATCTTGTTATTGCCACGACAGTAGTTAAGGTCCACAAGTTGCAGGACATCAAGTCTAAGGCATGATCCTTGGTTGTAGGATGTGTATTGGGGTCCTTTAAAAACAAGAAAAAAAACCCACCAAACTGTGAGGTAATACCCAAGATGGTGTTAAGTGATCTGTGCGTTCATTGGCAGCCGTTAATACCTGGCACATTGCACTCGCATTTTTAATCAAATTGAGCCATCTCAAGTACCAAAGCAATTATCAAAGCAAGCAGCAAGTAGGTAGAAATGCTGCTATGTCAGAATGCAACATCCTATGCCTGATCTGTAGAGCATCTTTCTCATGACAGGGTTTGCAGACAATCAGCTTGCAGTAAAGGCTCAGAGTACTTTGTTGGTGCTTCAGGATTAACTCCTCTGAGTAAAAACCTAGTTCCTTTATATATTTAAAAATAATTTCTTTTTCTCCCACAATACAAGAAATTCTATTGCAAGTGATCAAAATATGATTATGGCACCCACAGCAAACGACAGTTGATTTGTACTAGTCTCTATAGCAATGGCTGGCATTCTACCACAGTGAATTTTTATTGCTCTGAGTGAGCAATCTTTTTAATAATTGCTGCAATAGAAATATTTTAAATGTATGAGTGAAAGAGTCTTCTGTAGTCACCAAACAAAGCTGGATCTTTAACTCAGAAATGAATGATCACAAAGACATACTATTAATCTTCTGGTTTTCCAGTACAGTGGGATACTATATTACACTCTATATTGTTAGTTTATATTATTGTGCATTGTATGGTTATGCTAGTGCCAGGTTTTGACATTATTGGAGAATCCTTGGAAGTGTAGGTCACTAAACTTCTAGGTAATGTGATCATTCCACATCTGAAAAAACTACAGGGAATGAAGCAACTTGGCTTTGTATTGTGAAACACAAGTGTCTGTGATTCCTCAGTAAACTTATCAGCAATCTCTGAACTGAAGGACAGTGGTTCTTAGGACTACCCTTTTTCTTTACCTTGGCATTACAGATGAGGTCAATCTGCAAAATTCTGGGCCAAGACTTAAGCCGCTTTAAACTTTCCTTAAAGAAGTACTAAGGGTTTGGATCGGATCACTTATGGAGGTTGTAACTCAACACTGTTCCAATCCTGATCTGCAGAGACACTGAACCCTTTCTGCAGCTCCTGAGGTTCTTGATTTGTGTTCCTCTCTAGTTGGAACAGCAGCATTTGTGTGTTATTCCCCAAGGAAAAAAAATGCCTGGTTAGTTAGACATAATTCATTCGATTGCACTCACCGTGAACTTCATAAGCCACATAGGTTGCGAGTCCTCTGCACATAGCAAAGATGTCTGGTCCGTAAGACTGGAGGTCACGGACAGGTCTCTTGATGAGGACGAATGTGATCTCCCTTGTGGGTTGTCCTTGACCTTTCAGGTTCTAAATATCAAATAACATCATTCAGAAAGATCAGTGCCTTGATGCATTTCATGCTCTGTATATTCCTATTTCTGGAATGATGACTCAGTACTTGGTGTTTTGCTCAAAACTGTGTTTAGTACAGTCTTTTAATCCACTGTGTGACTGTAGGACCATTAGCAAGCATTGAGGATGGCTCCTATGGTAGATCTTTCTATAGGAGTTGAGGTGGAGGGAGGCTAAAGAGAACTGGGAACTCAGTTAAACAGCTGAACGGGAAGAGAGTAGCACAGTCAGTATTTTAACAGAGAGCTCCTACAAAAGTATTTCCTCAGTCGCTTACTAACCTCTCACCCTAGAGGTACCCAGGTTGTAACTTGGAAGCATGGAAAGACAAGTCTATTCATACAGCCTTCTAAAATGAGAACCAAAGAGGGCAGCAGCAACACTTGGCAGATACATTTAGATGAAAATTATTTGCCAGGAATGCTTATGACCTCTTTGAGAACTGAATGTTTTAGTGGGACAGTTTTTTCTGAACTGCTCCAGAGTGCTTTGTTTCAAATGGATTTCAAAATTATTTCCCTACTTGAGTGCTTTGTTGTCTGGACAAAGTGTCCGGATGCCTGTATTTTCTCTTACGACCTAGGCTTTCTGCTGGTTTGTATCTCTCATGATTCAGCTACAGCCACAGGACTTCTGTTCTGGCTCATACAGTTAAAATGGAGGAAAGGCTGTTGAATATAGAGATGCTCGCATTACGCCCTAAAGGAAAATGTAAGTCTGAACAATAGTGTCTGCAAAGCACTGTTCCGAAATGAAAAATGCAATTTTGTATTGAAATGACTCAGAACTATTTTTTAGGTATTGCTATCTAAAAAATAATTAATGTCATTGAATGTTTCCTAATATAAACTGTTTCTTAGCAACCTGCTAACCTAAACTTCCTCAGAGAAAATATTGCTGGGGAGGGAGGGGGAAGGGGGGGATCATGCACCTACTTTTTTTCTTTTGAAAAACCATCCCCGAATTCCCAAGCCACGTTACTGTTCAGAAAAACAATCCTGCCACTTGTAAAAATCTCATCCTCTCAAGAAAGAAAAAGCATAGTTAAGAAACACTTGATGAACTCCAGGGTAAAGAGACACTTAACAGGGACAACTGGGATTGATGTAGGCTTTCAAAATTATGGTGGAATTTTATCAAAGGGTTCCTGAAAGCCCACTCCAAAATGCTTCCTTCTTGCTGGTAAGCAAGGAGTTGAGATAAGCTTCAGGGGGCACAGAGGTGCACCTTAGTACAAGCAAGCCTGGAACTATAGCTAGAGGTGAATGGTTTTGCTCAAGCCTGTGCTTACATAACTCTCCCCTTTTTCTTCCCCACCTTGCCTTCTTGCCCTTTAAAGCCAGGATTTTTAAAAGGACTCAGTTCTCAGACTTTGGGAGAAGCCAGTGTCTACAAAAGGTTAGTATGCTGAATGCTGAGATAAATTTTAAAATGTCTGTGCTAATTCTGTGGGCTGAATGTTAATATGGTGCTTCGTTCTTTTTCAAAAGTCTTGAAAGCTTGAAAACTTATTTAAACTTTTTTCCTCATTACTGGATTATTTGTTCTTCCTCAACTAGAGCTGCCTAAAAAAATTTTTTTAGCCTGCAAAGAATGTGAGATTGTGAAGAGTACCATGCCAGAAATCTAAAATCTCTAAATATGAAACAGTATGAAAAAGCAATCAATCTAAATAATCTTTTAAAACATTATAAAAATAATCTAAGTGATCTACAACATGGAAAAAACAGGAAAACCCTCCACTGCATGCACTTGAAACAGGGTATTCTAACTTTTCAAAAGTTTCAAATTATGTTAATGTAAAATGTCATTGAAAGTGATGCAACATCATAATTAATGGTGTGATCTAAATGGCTTTTAAAGTAACTGTTGGTTTAAAAGCTTTTGAAAATGGCAATATCTCTGACATCAATTTACTTTGCATTACCGTACAACTTTAAAAAGGAGTAGTTACCTGTAATCCTGCCGTTCTTTCTTCAACCACAGTGGGAAGTGTATCAAAGCTAGGCATCTCATTTCTGTTCATTACGGAAATGAAGCAAGCTCTCTCTGACAGCACTTTGGTTGCAATGAAGCCCTGTAAAATAAAGTTATGGACAACTAAGCATTCAGTTTTTCAATAAAGATTGAAATAAAGTCTGTATTAAAGTAATACATGCAGGCAGTTTTTGCCCCCAAACTTGGATTCAAAATGTTACAGAACTTGTTTCTTTATACTTTGGTCAGCTTATAGGAGCTAGTCTCCTTGTACATTTTCTGAAAAAGCCTGCTCCTTGCCACTCACCGTATCGTAGTTCCAAATGGTTTTCCATGACCCACGGCTGCTCTTTTCCTCAATAATTGCCACACGCCATTCCCTATTGATGGTCAGAGTTTGGTAGCCTCCAGAAACGGTGATTTGCTTGCTTACGTCAGTATTCTGAAACTAGAAATCAAAATAAAACAACATTTTTAGACTTTCAAGTTAGTCCGTCATCTCCTCAAAGCTTTAGAAAATCACTGCTGTAATAGAATAAAAGCTGGCCCACAGGGAGCACCTTTAGTCACCACAGTATTGTCCAGTTGACAAAGAACTAAGGCTGTGGCATTCTGGAGTAGTCAAAAGAATTCTTTTAATGGATTCAATGAATAATTTCTGTATATTACACCTATCATCTTGGGGTTTTAGACTTTTATGTGTGAATGAAGTTTTAGATTCTTTTCCTCCAAAGGGGTGGGGAAAGAAGCAAGGAAAGCTCAAGAGGTGGGTAACATAGAAACAGCACCAATGTATGTGTAACTTGGTCGCTATACTCACATAATCAGCAAGGGCTGGAGTCAGCAGGAGTCCAAGAAGGACGGTAGTCACAATCTGAAATGAAAATGGAAAACAGAAGTGTAACTGCAGGTCTGGCTGACAAATCTGGTCGTGAGAATCCTAGTGCCTTTTTCCTAATGTGGTGTTTAAGTGTACTCCTTGGATCCTTTTTTGCTTTCACATGGCAATTACAGTAGTCACCTAAAGTAATCAATCCTTGCTTTACCCTAGAATAATGCAAACTAGACATGAAGTAGGTTGCTTTTTTAAGAACTGAATCTGAAGTTGCTTCTGAGATCTGTACAGTCATACAAATATTTTTCAAGAATGAGGAGAAGGAATTTAATTTTTTTTCTGCTTAGGCATTACAGGAAAGTGGTTGATCCATTAGTGCATTACTTCAGTTTTGTGAAACTGTTGACAAAAATGGACATGGAGTAGGCTTCCCGTAGGTTGCATGAGGTAGAGTTAAACCTTTAAAAGAAATCTTTACCTTTTCATCTGACTACGCTAACAGTTTGAGTTGCTTACTCTGGAGGAGAAAAATCTCCCCAGAGAATACCTTTTTGCTATAGAGAGGCATAGGGTCTTCTGAGAGATAAAGGCAATAGTTTTTGATTCAAAGTTTTAGTTTATAAAGAGAAAAAAAAAAGCATTCATACTCACAGTGAATTTCATCTTGACTGCAGAGCTGATGCTAGTGCAGGTAGAATGAACGATCTGAACAGTCCACTTTATATACGTTTTCAGAATTAGGTGTGGAACAGTTAAGTGTGGAAATAAAATTATTTTGTAATTTGTATCCCTGTCTGCATGTCACTGAATTATTTCCTGCTGTAACTACTTCATAAATATGGGGATTGTACTTCCGCAAATTTTGTCCTGCCAGAATCTGATAATTATCAGATAAGAATCCATTTGCAGTGAAAAATTTTTATAGTAACTTTCTGACATGTACTAATTACATTTGAAAATTCACATCAAACTTAAGACCAGAGATAACCTAGGGTTTTAAAAAAAAGTAGACAAAACAAATAAAAGCCTTTGGACCTTCCAAAATATACTGTATGTTACCATGGAGCCATTGGGCCCATCAAAATATATGGCCCAAATACAGCATTGCCAATGAAAATTGTTTTACAATTAATAGGCAGTTCAAGCTAAAATATTACATATATGTGCAAGTCTATGGATGTCCCTTTGTTATTTTAGGTGGCAACAATAATTATGTTCACCTTGCCTCAGCTGCTTTTCTGTGGTGATACAAATACTTATTGAAAGAGGTGATGTTTCAGTTAGGGAGGTTTTTGAATACTTGGTGTTTGTGTAAAGTTGCTCAGTTTCATTCTATGTGCATCCTGAGTCTGTGGCAAGGAATGACAGAAAAAGATTGCAAAATTACTTTTCAGCTGGAATCCAGCACACTATTAAATTAAAGGGTTTTAATATCTAAAAATCACTTCTAGCTAGTCCTGCAAGTGCAATGTTTAATTAAATCTGGTCTCAGTTTCACTGAGTCGAGCCCACAAGTCCAAAGGGACATTTTTGGTACGTACCGTTATGCCAAACGGTGGTTACATTCTTGGTTCTTTACAAGCAGCAGCGCTTGCACGGATTTGTGTGAAAAAAACACAGGTTTGTGCCGCGGGTTCTGAGGGCAGACCGCACTCATCGTCGCCCGCTTGTGGCGCCTCTGGGGGGAAGAAAAAAAAGTGGAGAAAACTCCCTACGCGGCCCGACGGGAATGAACTCTTTGAAGGAACAAAAGAACTTGCTTTTGCTGAGGTGCAGGAGAGCAGACGTGAGGCGGCGTCGGGCGGGAAGGCTGTGAGGCGTGTGAGGGGGGGAAGAATAACGGTTGGGAAAAACAGCGGGAAAACCTTGCTGAGGCGGCGGTGCTTCAGCAATGCTGGCTGGAGCAGCCCTGGCACATTAATGCCATTTCAACTTTATTAGTTTACAATTATTGAAGTATTTTTTTGCCTGAAAGACTGGTGCTAGACCTGCTGGTGGTGTCTCAAGTCAGAATATCTATTTTTATGGGGCTTTAAAAAAAAAAATCCCTCACAAATCAGGTTGTTTCTGCACCTTGAATTTGTCTAAAAATACATGAGGGTATTCAAATACATCTATTAGATTATATTATGGCTTCTTAATTTTACTCAAGTCACTCTTTTGAACTTCTTTCTGTCAATACAGTTTTTCAGGTGGTTTTTAATCTTCATATTCTGTCTGCTGTGGGATAAAGGAAAAACAGAGCCATAGGACTTAGGATAAAAATCTCATGACTTTGTAATGCTGATGTGGCATGCTGATGGGTGGTCCTCAGAACTTCAATTACAATTTTAATTAAATTAGGGAAGATGGTGAACTGGTATTTTCCAGACAGCCCAAATTACTGAAGTGATCATTGTAAATCATGGAAATTGTGTTTAGTGGCTCAGGCCTCATCCTTGTTGAGGAGGATCTTTTCTTGTAAGGTAAGCAACTCTAATTTTCTGTGCTGTTAAGAATATCTATATATCTCTGCACTTAGACAGACATTTTGAAACACAGTATTGTCATCGCATCAGGTTCACTGGAGTCTTTGCTGTCATGTCTCTAGCAATCTCTTTTTGAGTCTTGTTCTCTTCCCAGTCAGTTTAAATCTGAATCAATTTAAATTTGAGTAACAAACATTGTGAAATGTAATAACATCCTGATTGGAACAAGAAAGCGTCAGAATGTAATATTGCAATTAAATTCCTAGGGTCTGAAAAAAGCAAGTACTTTGTCTCATCAGTTCAGTAGTAGTTCCCTGTCTTCTGTATAGGACACATGGTTCTTTAAGCTTTTCATGTAATAAAAAATAAGCTTGGAGATGTATTAAGCATCACAATGTGTAATATTGTAGTAAAAATAGGAATCTGTGTGCATGAAGTTAAAGCAGTTTTGCCAGAAGCTGGACTTTGCTGCAAATGTTTTGTGCCCTCTTATGAAATTTTGGCCTTAAACAAGACAGGATTGGAGCAGGTGTCGTCCCTTGCTGGAAGCATCCATGCCCTGGTATTCCCTGCCAAGGGGACTACAGAGTCTCTGGTTTGATCCCTATAGATCAGCAGCCTTGCAGGGATATAGGGATACCCTCTCCTTGCACACCATGCTGTGACAGCTGGGGCTGCGTGATGTTGTGCTGTGCCATAGACCCTGCTCAGGCCATATCCCTGCTGCCTCGGGGGACTTGACATCATCATGTGTTAGAGTCTGGCCCATAGTCTTCAAGAGCTCGAAGGCCCCCAGAAAGACATTTCCCAGTGACATGTGATAGGATAAGTGAAGAGGGCTGTGCCTGTTTTATCTCAGGGGAAATGCAATGTAAAGTTGCAGAAGGAAAGGAGATTCTCTCCAGAAACCCCAGGCAAGTTGGACAGGAACTTTTGTTTAAATACTGCGACCATATGGTTGCTTTTCTTTGGAGGTGCTAAAATATTTTTGGGTGCAGTTTTGCTTTGGTTTTAATGTCAGTTAACTATAAAGACCCCAAAACCATCATTTTCCTGAACAGAAGAGGCTGCTACATCCTCTATTTGAAGGATGACTGTACCTGAATGGGTAAAATATCTCAGAGTAACTCCTTTCAAACTCCAATAAAAGGGCCTCTGAGCAAGGAGGGAAGGTGAAGTTCTGGTATTTATCCCTTACTGAAGTGATAGGTTTAGATGAAGAAACTAGTCCAAGCCATTTGGCCTTAGTTTTGACCTAATTATAATTTGACTCTTTCAAATTTCCAACTTTTAACTGTTTAGGGCATGGGGTTTTTTGCTTCCTGTGTTAAACATTTATCAAACATTAAGCAACATCTGTATTCAACACCAGGCTGCATTTAATACACTTATTAATTCCATTATTTGCTGCTTGATTTCTAGGTTGATCAGAGCAATAGCGCCTCTGTCTTTTTGTAATTGGCCATATTGCATTGCAATGCTTATTTTTTAAAATAAAACATTCTAATACTTAATATGTCAATAAGTTAAAATAAAAATAACTCAGATATGCTTATTTCTATAAACCTGGACTTCAGACCATATTATCTTAAATAGGGTTAATGCAGTAGGTATAGCACCATTTGCTTACAGTATTGATGAATAATTGCTTAAGGCAGCATGTGAAATCTCACTGGGAAATTGTACAGGATGAGGTTTAAATGTCAAAATTGGGATTATGCAAGAATGCTAGTTTAGCAACTTGTCTTTGGAATTGCTTCCACTTTTTAAAAGGATTACTAAAAACACAGCGCAGACCAGTGTAGGTTGATGATAAATTTTACTGAGACACAATAGCCTCCACACAGAGCAGAAGAGACAGATAAGTTATTGAAAATGTGATCAAGGGAAGATTATCAAGGAGAAAAATCTTGTTCATGGGTATATGGTTCTATGAATTTTCTTCTTCAAAACTGTGTCAGGAATAATTGGTGACAGTAATAGATGGGCAGATCATTAATCTTAACTTTCCAGCATGAAATGTCTTCCTTTAGGAAATTTGATCCTGAAAGAAAAGGAAAAACTGATTAGATTTGGACTGAGAAAATAAGAGAAAATGTAGCTGAAATTATTCCAATATAATATTGCAAAAGTACCAGGAAATGCCATTTAAGAGCTAAGCTGTGTCTTTCTAAACTTATAGTACAAGCAACTGTTAGTGCAATGTTTTTAGACAAATTGAAGCTGCAAATTGAGCTTTGAATCTCAAAGTCCTGCCGTGGCAGGACCAGTGGTAGCTGGGTATTGTATGTGCATGAAGTTGCCTAAAAAATTCAGACTTGGGTCAACATCTAGAGCCCCAAACCTTCCTGAAAAAGCCTAGTCTCTAAGAGAGTGGAGGAGTAGAGCAGAGGAGTGACAGACCTGCTGCTTTTCCTTATGCACGCATTCATTGATTTACAAAAAGTCATGGAAACCCACAGGATTTCAATAATTGTTCATCTTCACTTAAATCTTTTTCATCCTTATTTGTAATCTTGTTAATATTTATTTTGGTACACAAAACACTGTTACTAGTATACTCACCAGCAGCTGGGTAAGCAAGGTAAGAGGAAATTCCTCTGCAAAGAGCTTGAATGCGTTTTCCATATGGGTGCAAGCTTTGGAGTCTGTTTCTTGAGATAATAAAGCGATTCTCTCTGGGTGGAAGTTGGTGAGGACGAGGTCCCTAAGCAGCAAAGAAACAAACCCAGGAAACAGCATTTAGAAAAAGCAAAAATGGAGTTCAGAATCTGCGTGTAGGTCTTTGATTATGGAGAAAGGGCTATTCAAGTGCAATGTAACTTTTGAAAAACTGGAATTTTAGAGTGACTCAGCCCTGCTGAGAAACTTGTCTTCAGTTCTTGGAGCCTTTTCTACTTTTAGGGAATAAGTACTTTTCACAGGCAATTTCATTCACCATCCTACCTTGTGTCCTTGAGGCGGTGCAGGAAACCGTTTATCAAGTAAAAACCTCTTGGCCATTTTAGCAATGATGCAGGTGTTTTTTGAAAATACCTTGGTTGCAACGTAGCCCTATTAAAATAAAAAAAAGCTTTTTGCAAACAATAGACTGAATGATAAATGGATTGCCAGAGAAGCACTGGTTAAAAAAAAAAAAAAGGCTTTATACAGTACAAATAATCATAGGGAAGGAAAATATTGTTTTTTCAATTATGTTGTCTGGGTAAATTTGTCATGGAGTCTGGCAAGGGACTTTAGTAAAACGTAAAATGCCTTCTCCAGTAATGCCACGTGTATGATACATTATATTGCTTAAGTCAGGTGAAGGAGCTCACGGCTGAAAATATCAGTGCAGCATACAGTAGAGCAGAAACAATAAAATCATTAAATGGAAACATTTTTAAGCATCTTCTCTAAAATCTTGTTGAGTTTTGTTGAAGGTTAGGTGTTTTTGAAAAACCTTTTGGTTATTTTCCATTTCTTTGAGCCATAGTGGCAGCCACTTACAGTCTTGATGTCCCAGACAGATTTCCAGGCCTCAGAGCCCTCTGTTGAGTCGCTGCCGACCCTGGTGTCGGTGAAAGAGTGATGTGAGTTTTCATCATGGTGCCCCTTAAAATTTTTCTTGCCGTTCTGATTTTTGAAAAAGATGAAAGGAGGTAAGGATTTAGGTTTGTGGATTCCTGGTAGTCTTCACTCAAAAATGCAATAGCTCTAGTAACCAATGTTTTGGAAAATTATTACTCTTGGAGATCGGATTGAAGGGGAGAGAATTTCTGGCCTTAGAGGGGAGGCTGGGAAGCCATTAGTACTGTTGTGTTAAACTTTACATTAAGGCTTTATCTAGCCCTGGTTTTCATGTCTGATGGAGCAGCATTATGAAGACAGACAAACTGTAACATTACTGCTCTACCCCCCTACAGAATGCCTATTAGACCAGGTGGGAAAGAAGACATTGTTTCATTTAAACACTGAAGGATTTCCTTTAAAGTTAAACACTAAACTGGATGTTCAGAGTCAAACTTAAAAAAAAAAAAAAAATATTTCTAGGAAAATTAAAATAATTCCTTATTGTTCTTTTTTTTCAGCAGGAACTTGCAGGCGGAGGGTTATGTACAGTATTTCACTGGTGTTTTTTGGTCAGATCTTTCATGCTAATACTTGTTTCTCTCCACACAATTATTTTCACAGTGTTTAAGCTAATCTCAAGACAGACTGTTGATTTTCTATCTAGCAACTATCTTTTCCCTTGATATATCAAGGACTGAAATATTTTCTTTGGTATATATATAAAAAAGAAGCTTCCTGCTAAGTATCAGACTTTAAGTACAGCTTTATTTTCAGAAACGTATTTTTCAGAGGCTGTAGCTGAAGACCAGTAGTTCTTATGGCAGCAGTGTTTAATTGCATTTAGTTCTATACTTACCCTGTTAGCAAGAGCTGCAGCCAGGAAAACTCCAAGAAGAGAAGTAATCACAATCTGAAATGAATAGTTGAAGCTCACAACACTTTAATATGGTGACTACTTATCTTGCATCAAGTTATTTGCTGTCTTAAAATAATTTTGCCTTCATGTACATAAAGTTAAACATGCTCAGCACTTTTCTGAAGTGAGGTCTAGCTGATGAGTATTTAAATATGCACAAGAGCTTTTTGTTAATGAGCTTATATCAGATCATCAATTCACATAAATTACTCTTAACCATCTGAGGTTAAGTATACTTTGCACAATTAAGATGATTTAAACATAGTGGCTTTTAAAATACGTCCAGCCCCAGTTCAGTAAACTCCTTGGAAAAAGGTGGTCTGAAATATTTTGTTTAAAAGGGTGAACTTTTCACCCTGAGCCTTTGATTTCAGACATGGAGCAGGTCCATGAAATGCCCATGTGCATGTGCACTTATTGTGAGGAGTTGGAATATGGATGCACAGTACAGCTTTCTACTTGGAACACAGCAGAAATGGGACTTGAGCATCCTCATAGTAGATTTCATACCTCTGAATACAGGGCGTATAGCATAAGGGTAGGCACAGTCATTTTTGTTCAGAAAAATGTAACGTTAAACACTTTGTTACCCCTTTATAAAATAATACAGTTTCAGTGACTCACATGCTTGTTGTTACTCAGATTTCTCTAGGGTCAAAACTACTGCTGATTTTATATTTTTTTGAGATTTAATATGATGATAAATTCTTTTGTAATAATTATGGTGAACAATTGTTCTCTTGGAGACAATCCCTCTAATATTGAATCAGTCACGTATTTCATCTACTTCAAAGGATGATTTTTATGAGCAAGATCCAAGTGTGACTCAGTATTTAGCACTAACATTTTGGAATTTATCCTGCAACAGTTTCAGGCTGCTGTAAATACCCCTGCTTTACAGTCATGCACTTGGACTCTTTCATGTCTCATGGTTCTTCTGTGGTCTCATCAGATAGCAGTGCCATAACTTTATATAACTTGTTGAGACTGACTTGCATTTGACTTGTGAATGAGAGAATATTGCCCTTTCAACGTTTTACGTGTGCATTGCCCTTGTAATAGAGAACTTCTCTCTTTCACGTTTGAGTAGGCATATGGAATGAAGTCACTGCCAAAAGTGAAACTTCACCCATGCAGTCCCGACCCATTTGGCATTTTTACTCTAATCCCTACATAAATCACTAGTTTACTAGGTGCCAAGAAAGTCTCAAAATAATTTTAAAACTGTCCAACCTTAACACTTTTATGAGAAAGTGATACATATACTTACAGTGAACTTCATTTTGATGGTAGGTGAGGCATGATCTGCTGGTAATTGATGTGTACTCTTACTTTTTATACAGTAATAGCCCAAAGTTAAATCTTAAAATCGGTTTACCTTATTGGCATGTGCCCTGTGTTCACAGAATTGTGACGGGTTTCCTGGGGAAGTGCTCTGATAAGAGGAGGCTTTGATACCAGCCCAATTGAATTCACTTCATACAGGAAGATGAAAGAAAACTTGTCATGGTAAGTTCAATGCGTTTTATAGTAACTTTTAAATAAAATTAAAAAAAGAAAAACCCAGAACCAGAGAATAGATGCCTAATAAAATTTGTAGTGACGCTTTGTGCCTACGTGGCAAAGGACTCAGCCTAATATTTTATTCATAGCTGATACCATCTTTTAAATCAATGGAGGTGGTAATCTTGCTATGTTAAAAATGTAAAGTCAGTTCCCAGAAATCATGAGGTTGGTTCTAAATTATAGAAATTACTAAGTTCTTTTGTTAACCTTTCTTTCTGAGCTTGTTCAGTTAGGATCTGCTTTCCAGTCTTCAGGCATGGCCTCTGTTTCTTCAGAGCCCCTTCATGAAAGTAGTACCCGATTATGGACTAAGGGCTAATTCTAGAAAGGGACCATAAACTGGCAATAGCAAAAAATCAGTAAGGGAAGAGCAGTAACAACAGGCATTTTGTGTCAACTATTATTTAGAAAATATCATAGAATGATAGACTGGTTTGGGTTGGAAGAGACCTCAAAGCCCATCCAGTTCCAACCCCTGCCATGGGCAGGGACACCCTCCACTAGCCCAGGTTGCCCAAAGCCCCATCCAACCTGGCCTTGAACACTGCCAGGGAGCCAGGGGCAGCCACAATTTCTCTGGGCAACCCATTTCAGTGCCTCACCACCCTCACAGGGAAGAATTTCTTCCTAATATCTAATCTAAATCTGCCCTCTTTCAGTTGAGAGCCATTACCCTTTGTCCTAAGTAGATTTTAATATTTCTCTGAATTTGATAATTATATGCAGAGCCACAGCATAAGAGCTTATTTGCCTTGTTTGTTGCAGAAACTTTGCAAAATGTTTAGGTTTTTTAATTGGCCAGTACAAATGTCTGAGTCTTTTTGCCCAGGAATATTGTCCATTGCTGTTTAATAAACTGATATATATATATCTCCTCAGATAATTTGGATTTGTTTCTTAGCTGTGCCTGTTACAGAAGAAGCACTTTCAGAGGTGCTCATTTACTTACTCCAAAAGTGCTTTTTTGTTTAGCAGCAGTTCTGTTGGTCCCTCTGTATACTAATTGTGCGCTTTACTGTAGCTCAGCATGGGTTTGCACACTTAAGTTTCCTTTGCATTGCCAGAATGGTATGATGGGGACTTGGTCTCATTGTAAACTCTGAACTAACTTCTCCACTGTCATCAATTGCTGAGGATCATTGTTGCAGCTGTTACTGGAAAAGCCAGGAAATCTTACTTTAGTTGAGAAGGTGAGGCCCAATTCTCATTTACACCAATCAGAGCGGCACTCTGTCCTTCTGCTACTAACTAATGCATTGCTTGGACAACGTGAGTGCAGAGGAGGTGTAGCAGTCTGCTAGCACTGTGAGCAGAGAGCTCTGTTTTTCATCTATTTTGCACCCACTTTGCAGTTTGCACGAGGTGTAAAATATGGTGAATGAAAATAATAAATTGCTGAGGGAAAAGATTTACTGTTCTTCTAATTGGACTGATTTGTGGATGCCAAATGGAGACAGGTATGTCCTTAGCCTCCAGGATCCGAAATACACAAAAAAAGTCTTATTTTGTATGTCACAAAATCCTCTTATAGTCTCTGGAAACTTAATTAATTGACTAGTTCTCAAGAAGGGCATTGAGAAACTGAACTGTGTAATGCTAATCCCTACGGTTTCATTAGCAATGAGTTGGAAAGCACTTTTGTCCTTTTCTTCCAACAACCGTAGCCAATTTGGCCATTACAGTAATGCGTCACACTTGGAAGCCTGAATCTCCACATCTTCTCTCAACTTCTGATTACTGGAGTAGTTTGTATGGCAAACACACAGCTAGAGCATTTGACATTAAGAATAGCGTACGAAACTAATTACAATAGTAGAAGCCAGGAAAAAGGGTAGGGAGGAGTGCTTTTACTGTATAAAACCCTGTTTTTCCAGTACAAGCTTGTGTCTGTCTCATTTTTAAGGCTCAGCTCAAGGCATTCTGTTTCCATACTAAATTCTTGTACCACTGTGCAGCAAACTCCCAAGGCTAAGAGCCATTCCAGTTTTAACCCTATTCTCAAATTAGTGTTTCATTTTGTGCACATACTTACATTTTCATGTGTTTTTCTAGGCATTACTGGCTAGCAAGAATAAAACTGCTGAAACTTTCTGGATTCATCCTTGAAGCTTGATTTATTATTTAACTACAGAATGTGATTAATTCTGCTTGACCTTGTGCCACATAGATTGTTCTAGACAAACTGTGTCACCTCATCTTAATCTAAGTGTGTGGCATACCCAGCTGAATGCAAATGGAAGCACAGAGAATTTTGTTGATTTTTTGAGGTGTTGCTTCATTCTTTACTTTTGTCCCACTACCTGCTCACTCCCTGATAAAGTAAATATTTATGAAAAGTACCTGGGAAAAAACCCCATGAGTCACCAGGGGAGTTTATTATGATAGTATAATCTCACCTTAACTTGATTGAATCCATCTCCCTTATGTGTTGAAATTCCTGTTTGGTAATCAGCCTTGAACTGAAATTGTACAATTATTCTACTCATTTGATGTTCAAGGTTCTCAAGTGCTTAAATGATTTTTAGTGCATGACAGTGCCAAATAATGGGTCAAATTCTTCTGGGAGTTTTACTTATGTAGATTAAGAGTAATTCTGTAGCTTAATCATGTTTCATCAGGGTAAATTAGAATGTATTTGAAAATATTTCACCTTTTTAAAGTAACAGAGAAATTAATTTTCCTGTGACAATAAACATTGCTATGCTGTAACAACCTATTACTTGTTCTGAACATTACTTAAATTCCATTTTCTGCTGGCTTCCCTGATATGACCAACTCCAAGTGTAACAGTTGAGGAAAAAGTGATTTTATTAGGGGAAAAGTTGGAGAGTCTTCGCTTGGATCAAAAGTATACAAAGGCAGAAAACTACTTTGAGAATGTGGGCATCATTGTGAAGTTTCAAGTTCACTGAGGGATTTGAGTCATTGCTTCTTATGCTAAACCTCACTCTGCCTGAGGATTGGGGAAAGTGAAAGTTGTGCGTGTGGAAATTAGAGTGGGTTATAGCCCTTCTTAAGCAGCTCTTACTTAAATTGCTTCACATAGAAGGGCACTTGAAGGACTCTTGGTGTAGTCATGGATAGTCTTGCATCTGGGTGCAGGCGTGCTAATTTTGGATGTATTACTGGGAGATGTGTGCATTCACTGTGGGGGGGAAGTCTCCAAAAAGCAAGGCTTTCCTTTTGGAAGTATATCTAGGCTTAGCCTGAGAGAACTAGGAGTGTGTTCTCTCTTGCAAGAATGTTAATTAGTCAAATGCTTTTTAGAAATTAATTTTTGGCCTTGTCTGTTCAGATCAGTAAAACTCAGTCAGTTCTATGTAAGGTGAAAATCATGAGATCGTGGCTATTGTTGTAATTCTCCTTCACTAAATAACTGTTGATTTCACATGTTGTGCTTTTACCTGGGCCTAAGCTTATTGATGCTTAAGAAAGAAGCTCATGCTGCTTGCGTGTTTTTTAAAAGAAACGAGTATATGAAGGCATAATGACTAATGGAAAGTTAATTCAAGCTTTAGTTTAAAAGCATTTAAAACTTACTAAAGCTTTTTTGTTTTAGCTTGTGGTGCCTGAACCCTGTTAGATTCCTGCTATGAAAGGCTTATTTGACTGCTGAAATCTACTCTGAGTATTTCTGACATATCTGTAATCTTAGAAACAAAGAATCTTTTGAGAAGAAGGGACAGAGTGAGCTTTCAAGAGGAGGATAACATCAATCTAATCTAATCTAATTAGTCTAATCTAACTGTGCTTGTCACAATTTGATATCTGTTTATATGTATTCTGAGATATTGCTTAGCAGCACAGCTTTGTTACACTTGAGATAACATTTTCCATGCGGAGTTAGGTGGAATAAAGCAAATGCGTGCAATTTCCTTTTTTTCCATTGAGGCCTGTTTGCTGAGAGAGATTTCCATTCAATCTCTTTCACCTTTTTTCCGATGACTGAGATTACAGAAATGTGTTGGCTATTAGGTTGAGTTCTTGTTTTATTAGAAGGGAATAGGCCTCATTTATGACTTTCTAGTAGAAAGTAGAGCATGATACGTCAAGGTTCTGGCACTGACTGACGTGGAGTCACAGATGAGGAGGAGTCCAGGTGAGGTCGTAGTTGTAGTAGAATACTTTTCATGGCAATATCATGCGTTCATTGACACTTTCATAAAATAGAGAAAACAGAGGGAGCGTTAAAGGAGGAATGCCCATCCTACTCCTTTTGTTTTGTGACCTTGTGTGAACACACATCCTCTGAAGTTTCATGTCACTCCTTTGAGTGCTGAGGAGGCTAGGAGTTACCCGGATTGTCTTGTGAAGCACAGTTGTTATTCCTAATTATGTCACTAATTTCAATGCATGGGTTAATACATTATGGTAACCAATCAAAAATGAGCAGCACTTCTTGTTAAGAGTTCATGTGTATATTAGATGGCAGAATTGGTCTGTTTGGTGACTGGCACATAGGCCACCATGACATAGGTTTTTCTTTCCAGGATTTGTCTGCAGATTATCAGGCTGTTAGGAGTTATATTTTGGAAGACAAAATGCAGTTCGTATGAATGAATAGTAGAGTTATTCCTGATGTCATTTAATTCTGGACAATATCCTGTTAAATATTTAAAAAATGGAACAAGCAAGAGTGGGAACTCCTCTAAAGTTTAAACCAGTAAATAATAGCCATTTGTAGAGTTATTGATTTTATAAAAGCTGACTTACTGAGTGCTTTTAACATATCGGGGTCAGGTTATCTGTGCCAACCCAAAATTCAGATATGAGGCTTACCACAGTGTGGCATGTAGATATGGACTTGTTCGAGTCATGAAGAAAAGTTCTGTCAAGTGTTTCCCACACCTCCAGCAAGATATAAAAGTTGAAGGTCTCTGGGATTTTGTTGCATTCTTACTTTCTGCAGCCTCTTGTTCTTATCTGAAAGAAAAATGAACGGATTTGTGAGTATATCCATTTTTGTTGAACTTGCATTATAAAAAGCTCCTTATTTTTAAAAACAAAAGGATAGACAGGAAGATGCTCAAGTGGTACAGTACCGGGACTAATATGATCTGTGTATTGTTTCTTTGGGTTGTTCAGTGGGAAACTTGCATTTCTTGGGTGTGCAGTAATCCTCTTGGAGTCAGTGGAAGCATCATTTGAGCAAAGAGTGCAGAACTTGATTACAATTCAGAAGGGGCATTTAGTCATGCTTTAATAATTCTTCATTTGCCTCTACAACTGTAATTAACATGGCATCAAGGAGGGACTTTTGAAAAGTACAAAAAATCTAATGGTTATCATCCTGCTTTTTCAGTTACAGGCAAAATAGAGCCTAATAGCAAGAATTTTACAATGAAGAATTGTAATTGCTTTCAACTGAGATGTGTTAAGTGGATAATTTTTCAAACATGCTACAGCTGCTTCCCTCAGTTAATGAACTGGTTGGGATTTTTTTATGGCACTGCCTGGTGTTTCTGTTGAGTGAGAATGCTTATTCCTTTTACAGGCTGTGGTTCTCGTTTTGCTGGGAGTCTTTTGGACTCAGACTTCTGCATTGGATGTAAGTAGACTGATAAGCCTTCTTGTTCAGGTACTCATTTAAAATGCATTAGATTCCTGGGCAGGGGGGCAAATATAATAGGAAGAAAAGCACAGAAGAAACTACCAAGATGCTTATTCCAAAGCATAAATAGCATTTGGCAAACGTGACAATCATATAAGTCAAGAGGCAGTTCTGTGCAGGTGCACAATAACAAGACATTTGGGGGGCATAGGTCCCCTTAGCTCAAGCTAGAATTTGGAGACTGTAGCAGTCTCCTGCCAGTCCCTGCTGCCACACAAAATGACTGGGATGCCCCACGCTGTTTTTCCTTAGCCTGCAGTGAGGGTCTGTCTCCTCCTTTCTCAGCCTGACTCACTCTTGCATAATTAATCTTCACCTCAAGGGTCTCCTGAGACTGCTAGAGATTGTTAAGGAATTTAGTATTTACATAAAGCAATTGTGCTTGCTTATTTGAGAGAAAGCATTTGTTCATATTGCACCTTTTAAAGGTGCAAGCCAGATGATAAACAATAATTTAATGTTTTTTTTACCAAAGACTTTTGTCCTGCAAGAACCTGGCAATGCCTATGTCACTGGAACTATGACTATTCACAATGAGGAACACATTGTTGAAGTTCATGTCCGTTCTGGCGTGTATTCCTCTGATACCATTTTTGACTACTCGCATGTAAGTAAATCTAAGAATCTGCCTAGACTTAATCTCTGAGGAAGTTTTTAAACTCAGAAATTATTTTACAGTATTTTCACCATAAGCTGTCCTGAAACACTGTTTCTTTGAAGACTCCCACCGCCTTTCCATCTCTTAGGCTATCCCTTTGTTTCACTCATATGATGGTGCAGTTTAAAAGACTTGTAATGAAACCTGTGGTGGCGGTTCACGAAAGTGAGAAGAATGTCATTGACCTCAACGAGGTCAGAGCTGAGGATGGGCTGCCATCACTCCTGTATAGCAAGCACAGCAGAAGTCTGTTGGAAAAGATAATTCCAGTCTTACAGGCAGACATTAGTGTGGGGAGGCTGATTCCATTCCCCAAAGGTGACAATGTAAATGCAGAGTCATTCCACAATAGTAGCCTGCGTAGCCACTTTGTGTTTCTTCTGGATTGTGCTAAAGAGTAGGAGGAATCAACTAATATTAGTGGTATTAATTAAATTAACTATATTTTTTTAATCACAGGGGTATATTGCAACAAGGTTATTTTCACGAAATGCCTGCTTTATCATGAAAATAAATAAGGAATACATCCCAGAGCTGCGAGAAATTGGACGCCTGGCTTTTGAGAGAAAGGTGACTTTGTAGCAAAACCCATACTGTATACAAGAAAGGCTATTGTATGAGAGTTGCATGGTGTGATGGGAGCCCTCCGTTCTGCCTTTAAGAACAGCTGTTCTTAGGAATGTCTCTTACTGCATTAGCAGTGATGATGAAGCGGATTTGACAAGATAGAGCTTCAAGGGAATACCATATCAAACATTGTTTTAAGATAATGAGCAATCATGACCCCCCCACACCTTGCAGTTTTATAGTGGATTGTCATCGTGACTAGAACTGTGAGATTCCGTATCCTTGGAATTAGTGTAATTTGACTATTTTGAGGTGATTGATTGCAATATGAGTTCAGACAGGTTTTTCCTCTCTTTGTTGTCATGCTGATATTTTGAGTTTGACATAACTTGAAATAATTTTGTTTGCAGAACAGAATTTAGAAATTAATTTACTTTGACCAGGCTTTGACTTTTCTATTCAGGCAAAGATTTTGTGAAGGTGACTGGAAGTATTGCCTGTAGATGAACTTGAGTTCTGGCCTGATTTGACAGCCTAACAGTAGCGCACTTACAGCAAAATTTACTGCCAATTAATATAGCTTATTATGATAGTAATGCAGCTCAATTTTGCTATGTTAACAGAACTAGTATCTAGTGAACTTTGTTTCTGAATAGATTGAAAATATTTATTTTCTTTAAAAGCATGTAGCTTCTTTAGCTAACGTTTTGTGTGAGGCAAAGTAAGGCGACTTTAGATTTTTGGGATTTTCTCAAAGGATGCCCTAGTAGAATGAAACCAAAGCTACATTACTGATGATGTCTAACATTCTCTTCTTAGACTATGGAGAAAGTATACTCTCCAAATATTGTGTGGGTACAGTTTCGATCTGGCCATTCCGTGCTTGGGAGTTTCAAAGACTGGCTTCTCTATGGCAGACCCATTGAACAGCTCTGCACAGGTCTGCCTCTCTACCAGCTTGCAGAGACTCAACGTAAGTTACAAGAACACTATGCTTCTGTTACAGTACACAAGCACCTTTCTATCCATTAAACTTAAGTCCATATGGTACCTTTGAGGCAAGAACCTGTTTTAGAGAGGAGTAAACTAGCTAGCAGGATTGAAAGCGTAAGGCTCTGGGATGCTTTGAAAAATCTGGTAAAGCACTGTTTCATCTTTAGGCATCTAAACATCTGGAACAGCTGTTCCAAAGTGGTTTGCCTTGTGTCAGGGGAAGCCACTGTGTAGGAGCTGTACCAGACTTATGCCCTAATGATACAATGGTCCCACAAGGCATCTGCTGTATGTCAGCATGCTACCGCTGTATGCAGGAAACAAGGAGCATAGAGGTGATTTAAAGCCATACAGACATTTCCTCCCTTTGAGTTACACCATAGAAGTTTTACACAGTATCTACTGAGACCAACAGGAGCCTCCAATAGGACCACAACTGGGGATTTGAAACTTGTGTATTTCACAGAATTTTCCTTGCTGGATACAGGGGTCTTGTCACTGATGTCTTCATTTTCTTGTTTCTTTTAGCACTACTGAATCTTCATCGCTGTAGCAATGCAGGAATTCCAAGCATTTTGGGCCTTAAAATCTGTGAAAAAGACAATTAGGCTGGATCTTGCTGCATGGAAATGGCTTGTTTCTTTGTATGCTTTTGTGATGGTAGCCATGTTCTCCAACTGGAACAAAACTCGGTGTTAGACTCAACTTGCCTATCCTAAGCTTTGAGTGCAACAAACCTATGATATCTAAGTAAAGATAATGCAATAATTAAAATGCTTTGTCTTTTTTTCTTCATCCAAAAGTAGAAGAGAAATAAAGTGGCCCTTGCTGTTTTTCCTACAGAAGAGATATGTTTTTCTTTGGTGCATGCTTATCCTCAGGCTGTAACATGACACAGACATTGGTATATGCTTCATGCCAATGAAGAAATAGTAACAGAATCGTTTTTTCCAGTGGAGAACTTCCCTTTGGCATCAGCACCCAGCCTCTTCAGGTGCTGACTCACCTTATGTATGATTGCTGGAGGAAGGGAGCAAATGGATGAATAGGTAGACAATGGGAGGGAGCAGATCTATGTTATCAACAGTTGCAGAGAAGCTTGAATTCTGCATGGCCAGTGAAAATGTATAGGAATTTAAATAGATGCGATGGGTCAGACCTTTTTGTTCTGGGCATTTTTCAAACTCGGATAGAGGAGACTGTCCCAGTCCTAAAAAGTTCGTAAGCCAGAATAAAATTATCCTTTCACACAACTGCAATGTAAAAAGAGCTGTGACCACTTGCTGAGTGTCCCATGTACGCTAGAGAGTAGTTTGTGTCAGGAGCCCATCAAAATACAGGATGAGGTGGCATTGGTGCTGCCTGCCTGCTCCTCTCCAGTGAATGGTTGAATTCACACATTCTTTCCGTCAGTGTTTGGAAGGAGTGTATGTTTTGGGGCTGAAGACTAAATGTTTATTGGAGCCTTGAATGGCTGCCAGAGGGCAAGGCATTCCTTTGGAGTCCAGGAAACTGGCCCCAGTTCTGCAGTTTGTTGTTTTCAAATCAGACTCCTGGTCAAACCATCTGCTATTTGTTAAAAGAACATTTTATCACATGGTGAAACTCTTCTTTTAGATTAATTGTATTCACAAAAGGCTGCAGGTTCTTGATGATCCAAAGAATGTTTCTGGAGGGTCAGACTTTGGTAATTAAATCCAGGAATACTTGTATGTGTCTGCAGGATTCAAGATAGCCTGTTTAGCTGTATTTTGAAGTGAAGCTCACTGATGGGAAGTGAAACTAGGTGTTGTAGTTGTGATGTTTTTGGCTGATGCATGGGGAATGTGAAACACCTCAAAGCACCCTGAGAGCACCGCTTGGCAAGGTACTCATGTGGGTTGTGACTTTCAAAGCTTTTGTGGTTGCAGTATCCAGAGAGGCTGCTGTTTCAAGACCTTCAAAACACAGTTGGAAGCTCTAATCTAGTTTCCAAGTGACAACTGTCGTGTTTCAACCCTTTCTTTGTGTATTCCTCTGGTAGAAGGCATAGAAGTCATGACAAGCCCTGCCCGGAGTCAGCCAGGCTTTTCAAAATCTAGAAGAAACTGCCTTAACTATCTCAGGCTTTATGTGTCTTTGGATTATTTCTTTAGGGATGCTGACAAGACATCGACTATCCAGTGAAACTTTGAAGACCAGAGACTGAAGTAGATCCCAAAGGAACAAACTGGTAGAGCTTCCGGAGAGGCAGACTAGATGTATGAACAAAGCTGAGTCTTATTATTCTAATATTATTTAATTCAAAGTTATTTAAAATAATTAGTCTATGCAATCTGGTTTTCTGTCTAATTGCAGTATAGATGAATCTGAACCTTTACTGTGTGTGCAGTGTAATGGTCCTTTGAGACTCTCATCCTGTTGCTACTAGTTTAATCAGAATTAGTTACTTTAAAGCAACCCTCTACATACTACAGTCATTTATTGATGGAACAGTGTTCTGAGACGTGTGAGAGAGAGCTGAATAAAACAACTGAGTGGTTATGCATGGTTATAAAAGATGCGGGGCTCAACTCTTGACCCAGGGATAAAAAGCATTACGCACGTGACGAGAGTTCCTATTCTCCACTTGTGTAGTTGCTTACAGATGACGGGGATTATTCCGAATGGACAAAATAAGGGGTGCGTTGCTGCCTTGATACGATCAACGGAAAACTGAAGTACAATCTGCTATGTATGGTTTGACTGCTATCACAGAAATGGTCTGTGAACGAAGCAGGAATTCAATCCAACTCTTCAGTCTTCACTGATGGCTTAAAAAAATCCCTTTCTATGGTTTGACTGAATTTCATTTAAATTATAAGCATATTTGAGGCCTTACATTTTTTGTTTAGAAAGTATTGCATATACATCTAAAAGCTTACCAATAAGCTTTTAGTGTTTGCCTACTAATTTTGAAGGTAGTGTTACAAGCTTGGTAGATTTGCACTCGGTACTAGAGCAAACAGTTCTACAAAGAACTCTGAAACAAGCCTCAATACCTCATTATCTGCCATTTAATTTTGTTTGAGCTAGGGAGGTAGTGTTTCTGCCTTTCATGTACTCAAACATGGAGGAAGATTGTTTCTAGCTTTTTATTTCAGTTCACAATCTCATTGTATCAGTCAGGCCTGTTAGCAATATATTTGCATTTTGACTACTGTGTGTATTGTTTGACAAATAATGCTTCAGCTATCCACCTGCTCCAATGCCAGGGTGCATGGCTTAGAGGAAAGCATGTTCTGAATGGCAAATCTGTTTTGCCCAGAGGTAAATCTGTTGTGATGTTGCTGTACCTTTTGGAGTGCAGCTCACAACAAAGAGAAAAGGAAGCACAGGAAGAATCAAATACCATATGACCCATATGCCCACCTTCTCCTTTCCTCTGTTTTTCAGAGATGATGGTCTGTTTTCACATGAGCATATGGATGGGCATCTTACAGTTCTGAATGTACAGATGTTGAGCCCAGGCTTGTTGGTATACCAATTTATCGCTGGTTTCAAAGATCTTGCTAGAAATGGCTGCAGAGCAAAATAAATGTATTCTGAATTTAGTAACTAACTGCAGGACAAACAGGAATGTATACCCAGCTCTGAACAAAAGCAGAGAAAAGGACCTATGCGGGAGAAAGAATTTTGATATTTTATCTGTTTGATACTGTAGTTGGCCCGTGCTATTTCCTGCTGTTTCCTTTGCTGACTATGCCACAGTTCATCATATGTTTTACATACCTGTCTTAGACTATAATTGATCTGTTTTTCTTATCCAGCAAGGTATGGGTGTTATTACTTGACTACAGGGAAAAACCAAGGAAGTAAAAAGCAGCAATAGGTAAAGCATCCCTGAAGATATGGTCCATCTATTGTTTTAAATGACTGTAGGCTGAAAAATGTTTTCGATCTTTAAATCCACAGCCTGCCAGCAAAGGATCTGGACTTGAATGTTCATGATCTGAAGGAAATATATAGCTTTCCTTTTATTTATGGCTTAACTTAGACATGTGTTCTATATAACATGAAGTATCTGCTGTCATAGAGCTTGTTACGTAACAGTAGCTTTATGGGTCATCTCTGGGTGAGGATCTTTTTACGTTGTGATCCATGAGATTTCTTACTGGAATGGATGGAAAATTCCCACAGATTTCCACGGGAGGGACCCACAGAGGACTGCAGCCACTTCCTAAGTGGAGAGCAGCCAGCAACTGTTCTCAGAAACAATGAGAGAGAGAGAGAGAGTTATGTTCACAGTCAACAAAGCAGAGTGCTTATCCTAGTAACAACTGCCCAAGGTTAATGTGCAGAGTGGGTTGTCCACGAAGCTTATTAGTCTTAAATGTAAGATTAACACCTCGAAAATAGCGCAGGCAATTGGTATATCTGCATCAGGAGAGGGGCAGGGCAGTGGTGATCCTACCAGGACTGGAACCCAGATCTATCACAAAAATGAAGAAAGGAGCCAGTGTACAAGCTTATATCCTTAAGACATATTGGTGGAAATAGTCTAGGGAGAAAGAGAGAATCAGGATGCGACTCTCATTACCTTGAAAGTGACCTGATATTTCTAAGAGCTTCTCTCTATCAAAGTAATATACGTGTTTTGAAAGTTTAGCTTCTCAGCTAGGCTTGTTCTATCAAAGGTGGGGAATTTGTTTTATACGGAAGAGGGCACATTGGGAGGGTGTCTAGGCGTGCCTGCATATCTGTGTGCATATGCATTGGCAGCTTTTGTAATTTAAAACAGTATTTACCCTAGGCTGGGATATCAGAATAATGCTGATTATTTGGTCCCAGCTTTTTTAAAAAGCCTGAAAGGTGTTTAAAAGCATGCCTGGAATCCAAGCAATGGTATCATTGGATGTACACTGACAGGCAGCTAAAATATGTCGAGTATTTGGGGAGGGCAAAATTAGCACACATTCCAGTCACATCTCCAACTCTGCTGCAATTAACCTTTCTTGATCCTTATACGTATCAGTGGGCAGGAGGCCTCTATGGTCCCTCACTGCCAAGGACACTAATTTATCTGGTCACCTGTGCTGCAAAGTAATCCAAGATCTTTTTACCACTGAACCTGTTCCACTGTGAACATCCCCTGCCTCCACCTCCCCACATTTCCCAGAGTACAAGACTATTTCCCAAGGTCACGGTATGACTCCTTTGCCAGTTGTGATCATTTTAAAATCAGAGATTAACCTGGAAACTCTTACCCTGGTGAGCCAGAGTACTATTTAAATGAAAGAGACTGCTTAATTTAGGAGGAATGGCAGATTTTCATGTATCTTGTCCGATGCATGAAAACAAGTTTTCCCAGTTTCTATCAAGTAATAAAAGTCATTAGCAAAATTTCCCTTATAGGACAGATTTGTCACTAGTGGAGAAAAATGAAGTCAGACTGGAGAAACAAGCCTTCTATTTGAAACAAAAATTGTGCAGTCTGGGCTTACAAGCCCAAGATGTGAATGAGTGTCCTCATTTGCTAGGCCTTCCCACCCTTTTTGTACTAACAATGCATAGTAGTGGGGGGGGGAATCATCCCTTAGTTTTAGAAGACAAAAACTTGCCTCTTGTGTGTGTCTCTATAACCACCAAC